CCTCCTGAAAAAGCACCCTTGAGACAACCATGACCTGGATGACTGAGAATCTCTACAGACTTTTAGCTATCCAATTTGGGATGAACACCCATCAAATGGTGTGGGAGTATGTACGGATTTACAGGAACCAGGAGCACTACTCAGGTGACCCCGAGGACACAATAAACCTCCAAGTGCTTCAATGACTCTCTAAAAGGATGCAAATGACCAGCTGTCTGCAAGGATTATAAATCCTACCATTCAACACCATCCAGTCAGAGCTGAAGAAATTTCTTGGAAGAGAAGTAAAATGTCTTCAAAAAGGAAAAACAACAACAAGAAAGTCCAGTTGCCTCCTGAAAACATATGAAGAACAATTGCTGGAATTGGGTATGTCTAGTTTAATGAAAAGAAGGATTAGGGTAAGGTGACCAACCATCCTCTTTTAGGGAGGACAGTCCTCCTTTTGTAAGTTGTGTCCTCTCTCGAAAAGTGTCCTCCTCCACGTCCTCCTTTTTGATATTTGAAGACTAATCTGTAAATCTCCGTATTTGATCGATGCCGATCCGATCCGTTGTGTGTGATGTGACATATTTGTATTTGACATGACGATTCGTCAAGGCTCAGTACAGAGCATCGAGACGCGATTATGAGACACATGCGCTCCACACAGGAGAATTGTTTTGAGAGAATGTGCCATGCGCAAGAGTGCACCGTGCGCAAGAGTATGCTGTGCGCAAGAGAGTGCCGCGCGCAAGTGGCTTTGTTTTTTTCTTCAATTTATTTGTGTCCTCCTTTTCATTGTAAAAAAGTTGGTCACCTTAATTAGGGGAGATATGATAGCAGTGTTCCAATATCTCAAGGGATGCCACAAAGAAGAGGGAGTCAAGCTATTCTCCAAAGCACCTGAGGGCAGGACAAAGAAGCAGTGGGTGGATGGAAACTAATCAAGGAGAGAAGCAACCTAGAAGGATAAATTTCCGTAATAATATAGGGTTTCCTGCTTGAGCAGGGGGTTGGACCAGAAGATCTCTAAGGTCCCTTCCAACTCTGTTATTCTGTTAACTTGTAGGTCTCTACTAGCTAGAGGAGAGAAATAAATGATATTATGAATCACAATGCTGTCATGAAAATGATGAAAATTTTGTATTCTGTATCAGTCCTCGTGCAGTTGGTGGAATTTACTTAATTATTTATGCAATGGCATTACGGTGAATTTCTCATCATTTCGATATCATTGTGACTTATATTGGATACTTATGTCTGAGTTTGATTTATTTGTGATGTATTTTTGGGAAAAAAAATCCTTCTTCTTTCAAACTGATTGAGAACTTTTTCTCAAAATGTGAAGTATCTTTCAAAAGATGGTTTTTTTTTTTTTTTCCTGGCAGTCTGTGGTACCATTGGGGAAGAGTTTGGAAGGATTGATTGTTAGAGATGGCTTGTGAAGTAATATATTTTAATGCTATTTTTCTCCCCTTGTTAAAGTTCATCCCCTGAATCAGAGCAGGGACATTGTGAAGTACAGTTAGTCCACAATTACAACCAGTCATTTAGTGACTTTCCAAAGTTACAACAGCACTTTAAAAAAGTGACTTATGACCATTTTTCACACTTACAACCATTGCAGTATCTCCATGGTCATGTGATCAAAATTCAGATGCTTCATATTTATGACCATTGCAGTATCCCGGGGTCATGTGATCCCTTTTTGCAACCTTTTGACAAGCAAAGTCAATGGGGAAGCCAGATTCACTTAACAACTGAGTTACTAACTTAACAATGGCAGCTATTCACTTAACAACTTTGACAAGAAAGGTAATAAAATGAGGCACCGCTCATTTAACAACTGTCTTGCTTAGCAACAGAAATCTTGGGATCAATTGTGGTCATATGTTGAGGCCTACCTGTAGTCAGCCCAAAGTATCTCCTATTGTCATGGCTCTCTCGGAGCCTGAATCCATGGGGGAGGATGAGCTGGAGCTGTGGCTGACGGAGACTAAGGGGGAGGCTTTGTTGGCTCCTCCCACTGGAGAAACTGTGGGAGGAGCAAGATGGGACATCCCCAGGCCTCTTGGGCTTAGGATGGCTTGCCAGCAGTGAGGAACGGGGGCAGGACAACTGAGAGAGGACAGGCAGTGGAGAGATGAAGAGTGATGGAGCTCAGGCGATGAGCAAGGATCACCCCCTCCTTATCCCCAAGCATGGAGAGTGGAGAAGAAGCGGGAGCAGCAGAGGATGACCCGACAACTCAGGAGGACAGCGCCCCGCCCCTCTTCACAAGGCAGACCTGGGGACTGAGACTTAATGCTCAGGAGATGCTGTGGGGAGGAGCATTTGTTAGAAACAAACACTGAATTTGCAGAGCTTTGTGTGCTGTTGCCGATGTCTGGCGTTTGCACGACGGTTTGCTTGCTTCTTTGCTTCATGCTTCTTCCTTGCTTCGTGGATTCATTTCTTTGTTCCTTTGCCTTGCTGGACTCCTTTGAAGCCATTGTACTAACAGCGTTCACTGGACTGCTCGCAGCCAGTGGCTGCTGTGTATGTATGTGTGTGTGTGTGTGCGTGAGCGCTTTGCTCTGGGACTTGCATAACGTGGAAGCATTTAGGACAACCGTTGGAGCATTAAAGGGAAGTTTGAAATCTCAGCTGGCTGTGTGGCCTCCATGCCTTGCCCCAGGTCATCACATCTTTCAGGAGGCAGCAGCAAGTTCTTTGCGTTGTGATTTTTTTTTTAATTCTCTCCAAGCGGGGTTGATGCTAATCCATCTCAAGAATCAACAAATATTTACTTGTGAGTCAAATTAAAACTGAAGGAAACTGTCAGTCTGTGCTCCATTCAAAATCCAAGAAAGAAATACTCAGACTCCATAGGTTAGAGCAAAGGTTTTTCTTTTACTGAAAATCAAAGTGGAAGCTACAGGTTGAATTCTGAATCTAAAGAATTTGGCGTGCAGATCACATATACAAAGGAATGGAATTGTTCCCACCCCCCAAAGTCCAAAAGACTCTTCCAATTAAAAGTTCTGGATATGATCATGTGGGCATCTTCAGGTGGTGATGAGGCCTCTGTCCATTGACCTTGACATATTTTGATAAAACTTCGCAGCTGCGCAAAGGATAGAAAAACTAGGCAAGGAAATAGAAACTTAAGAACAGGAATTTATACTCCCCCTCCTCCTTCCCATTTACAGCATAGGAATGTAACACCTCCAGCTTTCTTCCCCTCCAATTCCCCCTTCCCCCCATTACTAATGACAGCCGAAAGATGGAGCAGTAAGAAAAATGCAAAGCAGCACAAAAGATGTTGAAGAGATCATCTTGAAGGCTGACATTCGGACCCCCTAGAAAAAGGGCAATTGTCCCTGTAAGAGAGAACAACATAAAATACATGTTAACAACTGCATACATTTCTATGGTTTATCAGGATACTTTATATGAAAGTCTTTGACCAGTTCAGGAGCCCTAATATCTTTCTCATTTACCCACTTGGCTTGGGATGAGGGAAAATGTTTCCAAGCTACGAGATATTGGAGACGACCTCTCCATTTCCGAGAGTCTAAAATCTCTTTAACTTCGAAATGTTGTTCACCCTCAATCAACAATGGTACGGGGGGATCAGTCTGGGACGGTCTCAGTGTAGAGGTATGCTCGGGTTTCAACAAACTAACCATTTTGTTCTTTATTTCATATTTTAAAAAATGGATCAAGGTGACTTTTGGATTGCACACAAAATGCATTAAAGAAGGAAAAATGACTAATTAAGGAATATATAAACAATATCCAATAAACCCACAATCAGTTTTAGAAGTACATTGCTTTATATGTACAGTCATACCGTTACCTGGTAAATAATCCTCATTTAACCATCACAAGGGTATCCAGAAATTTGGCCTTAAGTCATTACGATCTTGAAGTGGAACTCTATGTGATCTGACTCGATTTTATGACCTGTTTGGACAGCTGTTAAGTCATATAGTCATTAAGCAAATCCATTTTACTGAATGGTTGGGGGTTTTGTTTGCCTGAGAAGACTTGAAACTGGCAAAACCTGTCATAAATCACATTCATGTGACCACGGAGGCTGTAACTAGGTTGTAAATGCAAGCCAGTTGCCAAGCACCTGAAAAACGATCATGGGAGCAGCGGAGTGGCAGTCACAAATTCAGAAATGGTTGGCTTTTTTTTTTAATCCATCATAACTTTGAATGGTTGTTAAGTGAGAGTCTGTAGAGATTCTCAGTCATCCAGGTCCCAAAGGTGCTTTTTCAGGAGGCAACTGGACTTTCTTGTTTTTTCTTTTGAAGATGTTTTGCTTCTCATCCAAGAAGGTTCTTTAGCTCTGACAGGATGGTGGGGAATGGAAGGATTTATAATCCTTGCCGATAGCTGGTCATTTGCATTCTTCCAGAGGGTCGTTGAAGCACTTTGAGGTTCAGCTGTGTCCTCAGGGCACTGAGTAGCACTCCTAGTTCCTGTAGTCTCCATTTTTTTTCTGTAGCCCAGTTGGCCTCCTAAAAAAAGCACCTTTGGGACAACCATGACCTGGATTACTGAGAATCTCTACAGATTTTTAGCTATACAATTTGGGATGAACACCTTTTGAATGGTGTTGGGAGTAGGAATGGATTTCCAGAGGAAAAAATTGCAGACTACAAGAACCAGGAGCATGACCCAGGTTACCCTGAGGACACAGATGAACCTCCAAGTGCTTCAACGGCCTTCTAAAAGGATGCAAATGACCAGCTATCTGCAAGGAGCATAAATCCTTCCATTCCCCACCATCCTGTAAGAGCTGAAAAAGCTTCTTGGCTAAGAAGCGAAATGTCTTCAAAGAAAAGACAAGAAAGTCCAGTTGTCTCCTTAAAAAAGCAACTTCAGGTTAAGTGACAGTCATTAAGTGAGGGCTACTCTTACTCTCCTTTATTTGCATCACTTGTTATTTCTAATATGTTGTGCTTTGTGTTCAAGAGATGAATGAGAATGTGAGCAGCCTTTCCTGTCTTTACGCCATTAGGGAGAAGATGCCATTCCATCATGTCACAGCTGGGCTGCTGTACAAAGGAAACTATCTGAACCGGTCCCTCTCGGCAGGAAGTGACAGTGAACAGTTGGCCAACATCTCAGTGGAAGAATTGGATGGTAAGGATTGACTAAAATGTTGGTAGGGAGGAACAAAGGGTTCTGTTTTTATTTATTCTTTCAATTCATTGGTTAAGTCTTACAGACTTGAAACGTGAGATATGAAGGACTCAAGCTTAGGGTATGGTGACATGAAATTCAATATCCCTCTTGAAGAGTGTTGGGAATTTACTTTTTAGAAAAAAAAATTTTTTTAAGTTAGTGTCAGAGTCCAGCATCCACCCCCATTCAAATCACGAGTCTCTAGCCACATCTTTCAGAGTTTAAAGAAGATTTATTAGGAGTGAAACATGACAGTGCTACCTGGATGTAATCAACACAGAGACACATTATTCATTTCACCCTTGACCCTGGTCTTCCCCCCACCCCATGGATGTATCTTCTCCAATGGGACACATCCATAGCCAAGAGTCATCAATCATGCTCTCCAGTAATAATCTTGCACACCAGAAGCTTCAGTTGCTTAGAAAGTATCTATAAGCATTTAAGGAATGCACTACTCCCCTCACTCCCTTTCTGCTGGCAACTCTAAAAGACCAGAGAAATATTTTTTTGAGTTGACAGTTAGAAGGTTGAAGGCTCTATCCAAAATTAATTACATACAGTATGCACATGGGAGCTTGAATTCATTTATGAGAAAAAGCTGATCAATAGACATCTAGAGATAATGGATCAATAGACACATAGAGATAAGCCATAGAGGTAAATCAACCATAATAGACATAAAGAGATAGATACATAGAAGATAGATAGAATTGTTTATTGGCTGAGTGTGATTAGATATACAAGGAATTTGTTTCCAGTGCATAAGCTCTCAATGTACATATAACAATATTGATAAGCAACAAAGTTATAGTCATAAGGAGATAGGTAATAGGGAAGATGAGAATAATGATGGTAATATTGCCTTTTTAGATAGTTTGACAGTGTTGTAGGAATTAGTTGTTTAGCAGAATGATGGCATAGGGGGAAAAACTGTCCTTGTGTCTATAGAGTTGTTTTGAGGGTAGGAGTTGAAACAGTTTATGTCCAGAATGTGAGGGGTCCATAGATATTTTCACAGCCCTTTTTTTGACTCGTGCAGCATACAGGTCCTCAATGGAAGGCAGATCAGTAGCCAGAAAATAAATAAATCTGCATTTCTAATTATCTGTTGAAGTCTGTGTTTGTCTTGTTTGGTTGCAATGCCAAACCAGACAGTTAAAGAGGTGCAGATGACAGACTCAATAATCCCTCTGTAGAACTGTATCAGCAGCTCCTTGGGCAATTTGAGCTTTCTGAGTTGGCTTAAAGAGATATCCCATAGAAATAAGCCAGCCATTAGTAGTTCACATTTATATACCTTTGAAAAAGAGACAATAAAAATGCTAAGAAGGAAACAAAAAGACCAGAACACATTAAAACATCAGCAAAATCAGACCTTTGGGTCACTACATTGCAAAGGTGAGTGTGGAGATTCCAGGTTGACACAGAGACAATCAAGGAGTGGGTGTTATTGTGCCTGTTGCCACTGATAAGGTGTATGCATTTGTTATGGATTTTGACTTTTTGGGATTTTAATGTAAGCTGCTCAGAGTTACTGCCTGCGAGTTAGGTGGCTATATAAATGTGTTTAATAAATAAATAATCAGACAGAGTGGAAGTTATACTACAGTGTTTCTCAAGCCTGACAACTCTAAGATGTATGAATTTCAGCTCCCAGAACTCTTGGAGTTGAAGTGCTTACATCTTAGAGTTGTCAAGCTTGAGAAATGCTGTTAAAGCCTGATAGCAATAGACTTATATACCGCTTTACGATGCTTTACAGCCCTCTTTAAGTGGTTTACAGAGTCAGCATATTGCCCCCAACAATGTGGGATCTCAATTTTACCAACGCAGGAATATTTTAAATAAACCATGTGTGGGACCTTATTATTGTTTATCCATTACTACTAGGTCAGTTTGCTAGCCATACTAATTATGTCTCCTATACTTATGCCTTTATTGTTTTTACAAGTAACTCAAGGTGGTGAACATGTTCAACGCAATGTGTAGATGATAGATAAATAGATGTAGATAGATAGATAGATAGATAGATGATAGATAGATAGATGATAGATAGATAGATAGATAGATAGATAGATAGATAGATAGATAGATAGATAAATAGATAGATAGACAGACAATGATAGATAGATGAAGATAGATAGACAGACGATGATGGACATAGATAATATAGATTATGATGATAGATAGATAGACAGATAGACAGGCAGAGGGACAGACACAGACAGACAGACAATGCCTGTTCTTATGATGCTAATAGTCATAAAATATATAGGGGAATGCAGATTTCTGATCCCTGCTTTAGAAACCAAGCACAGTACTCCTTCCCATACACTTGAAGTTGTACAGTTGCAAACAGACTTGTAAGCTGTCTTAGAACTTATTCTTATATGGGAAAAAAATTATGAACGTCCAATGAATGCCCTCCCATTACAGAAACAGATAAGTGGCAGATTATTTGTAAGACCCGTGAGATCCAGGACACCACATCCTTTCACGCCTTGTTTGTCTTCGGCTTCTTTGTGTGGATGTATTGCTTGCACAACACCACACTTCTTTTCTGCTTAATAGCCTATTTATTCTTCACCTGTTAGGCAGCAGATTTCTTGTGGGAATCCCAACACTGTTTCCCTTTCCTAGCACTGTTTTTTATTGCAGATCTTCGCTTTCTGGCAACGTTCCAGGTTTTCAGCTAAACTGAGATTTGCTGCTTTTGGGAAATTTTTAACAATCTAAGGTGAAAAGGAAGAGTTTCACTTAGATCAAAGGAAAGTTATCTTCCTCTCTGTGATCTGTATTAAGATGAGATTGGGGGGGAAATATCATTCCTTTTCATAATAAACTCTGCTCCACTCCTCATGTGTAGGAATATCGTGTGTGTGTGTGTGTGTGTGTGTGTGTGTGTAAAAACTCAAGTGAAAGATTTCTACATAGCTGGGAAAATCTTTATAATAGAATAACAGAGTTGGAAGGCAGGAAACCCTACACCACTTTAGACAAACGGATATCCAATCTCTTCTTAAAAGCTTCCGGTGTTGGAGCATTTACAGCTTCTGGAGGCAAGTTGTTCCACTGATTAATTGTTCTAACTTTTAGGAAACTTCTCCTTAGTTCTAGGTTGCTTCTCTCCTTGATTAGTTTCCATCCACTGCTTCTTGTCCTGCCTTCAGGTGCTTTAGCTTGACTCCCTCTTCTTTGTGGTAGCCCTGAGATATTGGAACACTCCTATCACATCACTCCCTAGTTCTTTTCATTAAACCAGACATACCCAGTTCCAGCAACCATTCTTCATATGTTTTAGCCTCCAGCCCCCTAATCATCTTGGTTGCTCTTCTCTGCACTCTTTCTAGAATCTCAACGTCTTTTTTACATCGTGGCGACCAAAACTTGATGCAGTATTCCAAGTGTGGCCTTACCAAGGCCTTATAAAGTGGCATTAACACATCACGTGATCTTGATTCTATCCCTCTGTTTATGCAGCCTAGAACTGTGTTGGCTTTTTTGGCAGCTGCTGCACACGGCTGTCTCATATTTAAATGGTTGTGCACTCGGACTCTCTCACACTTACTTACACAGTTATCTTAAGAAGTGTCTCAGTGAGAGTTTAGGTACAAATTTTGCTACTTAAAATCTCCCCCATGAGAACTCCTGGCTCAATCAAGGGTCCTTTTTTTTGTCTCTTAACCTGGGGAGGGGAGGACTTTTTAAGATATATGATGGAGGAGGGGAATCATGTGCAATCTGCGAGTGGCCTATTCCTGTCTTATAGTATACCAAATTACAGGGAGTCCTCGACTTACAACAGTTCATTTTGTGACCACGTTACAACAGCCCTGAAAAAAAATAATTTATGACTGTTTTTCATACTTAATAGCCAGCATCCCCGTGGTCACGTGATCAAAATTCAGATGTTTGGCAACTGACTCATGTTTGTGACGTTTGCAATGTCCTGGGGTCGTGGAGTCACCTTTTGCAAACTTCAGACCAGCAACGTTAATAGGGAAGCCAGATTCACTAAAAGATCACGTTACTAACTTAACAGCGGCCGTGATTCACTTAGCAACGGTGGCGGGAAAGTTCGTAAAATGGGCAAGACTCACTGAACACCTGTCTCGCTTAGCAACCAAAATCTTGAGGTCAGTTGTAAGGAGAGGACTAACCTGTACTTGCTTCTTTTTTATTTCCATTCTGTGACCAACCTGAGTTTTCAGCCGTTAGCAACATCACAGGAGAGGAAAAATAAGTTGCAGCTTTATCCCATTCCTTGTTTGCTGTCTGTTGCTTCTTGCAAAATTCTCTTGCTCTTGTCTATAAACCAATGCTTACTATAGGCAGGATTAAGTGGATGATGGAGGCAAAGCAAGCTATAAGCAGCAGTGGGAAAAGGGAAAAAAAATAAGCTCATTTTGTCTCCAGCAAGAGCAGCTGTGTTTCACCTTTTTTTTTTTTTTTTGGTAGTCTGCATCAAATGCTGACACATTTTTTTTTCATTTCACTGCAAATCTACAGGAGAATCCAGCCAAGGCCTGCTTTTCATGTGGGAAGGGGTTAATCTAGAGCAGGGGTTAGAGCAGTGCTAAGGCAGGACTTCCCTCAGACCCTCCCTCCCTCTTATTATAATCTTCTTCCTTCCCTTCTTTTTCCTTTCCTCTTCATTCTCCTTTCTTCTTCCTTCCCCTCTTTCCTTCTTTTTTTCCTTCCTTGCTCTCTTCCCACCTTTCCTTCTTTTTCTTTTTCTTTCCTCTTTCCCTTTCTCCTTTCCTGTCCCTTCTTGGATGCTCAAAGGCAAAAGGGGAAACATTTCTCCTCTCGTTTTGTTTTTAGTTTGTTTTGCCAGCCTTCTGCCAGCGAAAACCGAGCCCGCTTCGCACACACACCCCGCATGCGGCCCTCCTGAGCTCCATTTTCACTGGCAGAGGCACCATAGGCTAATCCTTCACTGTTTCCATGGCAGC